ATTCATCTTAGAATCGTAAACTTGAAGCTTAGTGAGTTCCAAAAATACCACATACAACACAAAATAATGGGCCCAACTATAGGATCTAACCTAACGAGTCCAACCCAATGAAGCATGGAAATGTGATCAGCCCTAGGGGTATATTTCAACCTATTGGGACCAATCCTACTGATCCAACCCAACGAAGAATGTAAACATACAAGTAACAAGCAAAACCTTACTAGTCTAGCGTACCATGTCATAAGTAATACATTGAGAAGAGTCACTTGAATCAAAGAGCTGAGTCTAACTACTTGAAGTTCTAAAGAATCAACTATACGAACTGCCTAAACAAATCATAGTCTACAACTCAGTCTATGACTCAAAACCCTCAATTTGACTAAAAGTCAAATTGGTCAAAAAAAAGTCAACGACCTTTGCACTATAACCAACCTCTGGTCACACCGTGACCACTAGGCGACAAAATAACCGCGAGATCCTAGATGTCGCGCCGTGAATCCCAGTTTAACAACCACATTTTCCCTAGGGTCTTAATCCTTTAAAACCTGAAGTCTATTATCCCACATGTCATCAAAATATGGTCTTAATGGATAAAGTTCCAAACTTAATCCATTTGGATGCCTTAGATACAAAGATCTCTTATCCTAGGTCAAAAGAGACCAAAAATGAACACATGACCTTACATGTAATCAAATAAAAGATAAAAATCATCTTTAAATTTCACGAAGGGTCCAAAAGACCCCAAGATTCAACCTTTGGGTATGGCGTTTTCTAAACTCCACCCAAACAACAAGAAGGGGGCCAAAACCAAGCTAAATAATCTAGATCTATCATTCAAGAAACAAAAAGCATGGATCTTGAATACGTATAAAGGTCCTAAGAAAGGAAAAAAGTTGATGCTTACTGGATATGACTTGAACAACACCTTCTTGCAACAACAAGCACCTTCAAGCTTCACCAAATGAAGAAAACAAGTCAAGAACACAAAGAGAGGCTAGGGTTTGCAAGGAGGGATGTTTCTGAGAATGTATGCCGCCTAAATGAGGAAACCCTATGGGATTTTTTTTTTGAAACGGCAAATAATTTAAATATCTTCTGTGTCTGGGATTGAACCCAGGACCACCTTGTTAGTTGTTAGATTAGAGACCTCACTGTTAGCCAAGTGGGCTCAATGGGAGCCACATTAAGACAAGGCCCACCCACACATTTGCTTATAATCTTATATGTGTAATATATATATATATATATATATATATATATATAAATTTTATTATATATAAAGAAAATGTAACATCCCCAAAATTCAAGGCCAAAAATTTCATTTGTAAATAAGTTATTACATAAAGCATCAGTATAAAAACATTCATAATAATATCTCGTGTCAAGCCAAAGTGTCAGTAATCAAAACATATTATCATAAAACCATATCAGAGTGTGATCCCAAAGATCTCATGTGCGGAAAACATAGTGTGATGCGCTGCGATCGAGCCGTCCCTTTCCTTGAAAACAAAGTACCTGAAACCAAAACTGAAAACCGTAAGCACGAAGCTTAGTGAGTTCCCCAGATACCACATACCATACAAACCAACTGATCCATACATGCCATACATAGCCAAGAGCCATACATAACCAACATATCCATAATCAAGTAAGGTGCTATATGCCAAACATAGTCTTGCTAAGGTGCTATGTGCCAAACATAGTCTTGCGGTTATGCCACGGGCCGCACGTGGTCTTCCTGGTCAAGCCTGGGGCCACTCCCTGGGTCTTACAGACAAGTGCCAAGGGCCACCCCCTGGTCTTTCATGCAAGTATCACAAAGACAACTATACATACTACTGTACTAGGCCACTCCGCATATAGTGTGCCAGGAGCCACCCCCTGGTCTTTCATACACAATATCATATAGTGCGCCAGGAGCCACCTTCTGGTCTTTCATACATATTGCCTAGGGCTAACCCCCGGGTCTTCCTATCATACATAATAACATACTGTGTGCCAGGAGCCGCCTCCTGGTCTTTCATGCATAATGCCTAGGGCTAACCCCCGGGTCTTCCTACCATACATAAACTAAATGGGTCGGCATTGTGGCCGTAGACCCATACAAAAGTGAGGAGACTCACCTCGCACTGCTGAACTTTGCTGATAACCCTCTGGCTGCTGTCCGACCACTTTCTGAACCGCTGCTCCACTAGCTCCCCGAGCTACTAATATCAATAAAACACTTAGTTCCAAACTGAACTCTAGAAGTCAAACTAAGTCAACTCTGGTTAAAGTCAAAGTCCTGGTCAAAGTCAACCTTCCAGTTGACTCAACTCGCCGAGTCAACCCGAAGACTCGTCGAGTCCTTAAACTCAGAAGCTCTCAAAATACGACCCAACTCGCCGAGTCACCCCCAGGACTCGTCGAGTTCAACGATCTCTGAGTCCCATCCTGTCCAACTCACTGAGTCACCACTCAACTCACTGATCTGCGTCTTATCCAGAAGAGGTTGGAGGTTCTGCGACCTGACTCGTCGAGTCCAAGAATAGACTCGCCGAGTCCTAGGTAATCTTCAACAGACTCGCCGAGTTGTTCTTCCAACTCGCCGAGTCCATGAACATATTCATACAACTCGTCGAGTACACCCATGTGACTCGCCGAGTCTCTCCAGTTCTCAATCCATACAGTGGCTTATCGAGCCATGCAGGGGCTCCAATCCATAGATCCACTCTTCTACAGTCTATCCCCCACATAAAGTTGCAAACTTTACGTGAAACCAAGGAGATATAGGCCCAAAACACTCTAGGGCTAGGGTTTAAGACAAAGGGGCTTCACCAATGACTCATTGACTGTTGCTTTAAGACATTCTGGACCATCACAACCCTAGATCTGAAGTAGCAACCTCAGATCTAAGCCCCAAACCCGAAATAGACCTCAATCTTGCCAAAATAGCCCCAAATCTCATTCAAGAATAGATCTAGATGCAAAAGGGTGAAGGTAACAGCTTATTACCTCCAAGATGACCTCCCACTGAAGATTAATCCAAATCTCTACAAACCCCCCTTGATCCAAGCGTCTTGATCTTCAAGATCTCTTCACAAAACCACTTATCTAAGCTCCAAATTGCCTCCAAGGACTCTCACTCACTATTTAGGGTTTCTGGATCTCAAAAGGATAGCAAAGAGGCTGGGGAAGGGATGTAATGTTCTTTAAATAGGGCACAACCCTCGGGATTAGGGTTTTTCTCGTCCAGACCAGACTCGCCGAGTCCACTAGCCGACTCGCCGAGTCGGTCACTTACTCTATGCCCCGGATCCCGCTCCGACTCGTCGAGTTCCTCCCTGGACTCGACGAGTTGACTCTTGACTTAGAGTCTTTCCTTTCTTTTCTTGGTCTTTCTGATTCTAGGTGTTACAGAAAACGTTGGGCTTCTTTTATCTATGGCCCACCCCAAATCAAATAAGAAATTGAATATGTGTGTTACTGCCGTGTAACTGCCGCTTTGTCCTATACCTCAAGTCTCAAGAATATATGATTCCACTTATTCAACAGTTCGCAAATCAATTTTCTTCGCTGTTTCTTATTCAATTTGCTAATTTTTGTTCATCAATTGCCACTATCATGTTAGTAAATTAAATTTTATGTTTTTCTAAATCCTAATTATTCAATTACTTCATTATTGTTTTTATTTTAACCATAGATTTTATATTTTTATCATAGGTTTCTAATAAATAGGTTATTATTTCTTGCTATGAGTTAATTATTTGTATTATAGTAAGCTTGTAATTGTAGAAAAATATAAGAGTATGTTTGTAATTGAATTTTTTTTATACTTAGTGAATGCATACATTGTTATATTTTGTTATCATTTGAAGTATTTTTCTACTCGTTCATATTTCGTAATTGATTTGGTCTACCCTACAACAAAATTCTGTCTACGCCACTGAGTGGGCTAGCCCCAACTTGTGAAACCCTAGGGATTAAAACCTTTAAATAGGACCCAAAAGTTGACAATTAGGGTTTCTCCAATCAACAAGGTCATGTCGTACCATCATAATGTCATGTCGTGACCTTCATTAACGGTTAGCAACGCGGACTACCCTAAGTCGTGACGACCATCCGCGAAACTCTTGAACTTATAAATCCCAATTAATACTTAAAAACATTCTAAAAAAAATCTGATGTTACAATTTTTCCCTTTGTTATCGTTTTTTCTTTAATTATAGAGATATATGTATCATGTATGTACGCATTATTGTTTTATAGGTCCACGCCATATTATTTAAAAAGCTTGATATTGGGTTTTCTTCTTAACTTTCCCATGCTCTTTGAGAATCAAAAGGCACGCACATTATTTAAAATTAAAGATCCAAAAGTTAAAACCAATGATCCATCCTTAAAGGTTTAACATGTTTTGTTTGATTCTAAGTACCAATTTAAGTGAACCTTCTACAGCCACGTCTACGACATTTTAAAGAAGAATATACATAAGATATCTCTATCCATCGTTAAAGGTTTAACATGATACTTCGGAACATGATATTGGTTTAATAAAAGCTGTAGGAACATTATGCTTAGGATTTGAGAGATAATATTTGATTCTTGCATGAACCAATTCAACCTCCGTACCAAACAACCTCATACAAAGTTAAAACCAAGCAAATTTTTGGGTTTTCAGAGATTTTGGTTCTAAAACCTGAGACCCGGTTACACCCTACTCACTTTGATATTTCCGATTCTAAATCTACTTCACTCGGAACAAAACCGATATCTGTTTCTTCATATCGATCCAACTCCCAAGCCCACTAATATCCCAATTCTTGTTCCCGATCCGGATCCGGATCCGGACCCAGACCCGTTTAGATCCCTATTCGGGGTTGTTTCTAATAAAATTCTTGTCGTTTCAAAGAAAAAAATCGCCATGACAGAGAGCAACACGGAGTTACGGACAACCCGTTTCTAAATATTCGACAACATAAATGCCCGAATGAGCCTTTCTTTTGGTATATAAAGGAAAAAAGAAAACCCTTGCAATTTCAGTACTCTCTCTCTCTCCCTCTCTCATCACACAAATACAGAAGACCGCCCCGTGTGATTCCTCTTATCTTTTTCTCGTCGTCTATCTCTCCACCGTCGTTGGCTACTTTCGCCACCTCCTTACCTCTCTACCCTTTCAAAACTGCCACCCACAAGCATCCATTTTTCTCAATATTTCCCTCATTTTTTATCGGATTCTAAATTTCTTAATTTCTTAATTTCTTAATTTGTCGTTGTCGGTGGCTGTTAAATATCATTTGACGAATAGAATTTCCTTAATCCCCATTTGAGATCGAGTGGTGCTTTTGGATTTATGATCTTCCGTCTAAATGTGTTATTCAAAATCACAGGGTTTTGTGTAAGAAAGAAATCTTGGTACATATTCCCCTGATATTTAATTAAAACTTGTAAAATTGTTGTTTCGTTTTTGGTAGGTAAGTGTGCAATTGAATTCTAGTTGGATCGCGTTTAATTACCGTTTCCTGTATTTACAAATTCTTGGATCTCGAGAGCATTATCCGTTCTTGAATTCCTCGCCAATTCAGATCCTTCCTTTACGTCCCTTTTGTTGTACCAACAACATAATTAAGGGTTTGGTGGTGGTAGTTGATGAATGGGAGTGATATGTACAGGGTAGAAGATAGAGATAAGAGAAAGAGGTTTGGGATTGGAATTGGAATTGGAGTTAAGATCAGGGCAATGGGATTGAAGACATTAGGGGAAAGTAGAGTAGAAAAATTGAAGGCAAATGCAAGGTCTCCAAAAATGAAGTTGTGGATAATTAGGGCAACAACAATGGTGTTGTTGTGGACTTGTTTGGTTCAGTTGACAGCTTTAGGGGATACATGGGGACCTAGGGTTTTAAAAGGTTGGCCTTCTTCTGTCACTCAAGATTCCCATTCTTTAGATGTCAAGTTTTTGCCCAGTGGTCCTGCTAGGGTTCTTCCTCCCAAGAGTGAGTTTCTTTCTTCATGTTTTTTCAGTTTTTTGATATTCATGATGACTGTAAACGTGAATTCTGACACTTCTTAATCATGATTGTACTATGAATCCCAACCCTTTTTTATGGGTATTTCTTGGATTTTTCTAAATTGTGATAAGTACGTGACAAAATATGACGACCATCTCTTCATTTGTGGCATTTCTATTATTTCTTTAAAAGGGTTTATAGAACTAACATCAATAAGAGACAATTAGTTGGCTTTCCTTAGAATTTGGCAATTACTTGGTGTCCTTTTCAATTTTAATGTTTGAATCTATTTGGTATTGAATGTAGGGGTTTATCAAAACAATGGTTACCTAATGGTTTCATGTAACGGAGGACTCAATCAAATGCGATCTGCAGTGAGTGTATTCTTTATGAATTTTAACTTAAAAAGGATCCATTTCCTAATCAGTTTCTTATTATTTCAATAATTTCTTCATTATGTAGATTTGTGACATGGTTGCAATTTCAAGATTTTTGAATGTTACACTTATAGTTCCCGAGCTCGATATAACGTCATTCTGGGCTGATCCAAGGTATGGTGAATTATGTCAAATTGAGAACTTTCTTGATTTTAACCAAAAATCTTGAATGCCAGTGAGTTTGAGGACATTTTTGATGTGGATCATTTCATTACTTCATTGAGAGATGAGGTCAGGGATACTTAAGCAACTTCCTCCAAGGCTTAAAAAGAGAATGGAATTGGGATACGTGCATACCATGCCTCCCGTTAGCTGGTCCGATATTTCTTATTATCATAACCAGGTATTATTTTTTCAGCAACCCCTGAGCCTGACCCACATTGCCCATCCTCAAAGTATCATGTGAGATGTAAATCAGATACAGACTGTACAGTGGCCTACTAAGAGAGGCCCAATCTAAGTTGTACTTCTCTAGGTCTAGGGCTTCTTTTTGAAGTTTTTGTATGGTATAGTTACAATTTTGTCCTTACCTTGTTGCAGATTCTTCCTTTGATTAAGAAATTCAAGGTTGTGCATTTGAATAGAACAGATGCTCGGCTTGCAAATAATGGTCAGCCTCTAGAACTTCAGATGATGATGAAATATGATCAAACAGAGAAAGATTGAAAAGAAGAAGATGATGAAATTGACTAATTGATTACACGATTAACACAATCTAAAAGATTGCCCAGGGAATCTCCCTCTCTCTAAGCCGAAAGCTTAAGAGCCAATACAAAGTATTACACTGTAAAATAATTTCTAGACTACTCACAAATGAAATCATCTTCTCTCTCTCTCTCTCTCTCTCTCTCTCTCTCTCTCTAACAGATTTTAGCCATATTCCTGATTTACCCTTTTACTCCTTCTAGATTATGCATGTAGCAACTTTAGTTCATTTGCCCTTTTAATTACCATATTAGTATCTGTATCAGTCAGCCTCTAGAACTTCAGAAGCTAAGGTGCCGAGTAAATTTCAATGCTTTGAGATTTACTCCTCAGATAGAATACTTGGGTAGACGTGTAGTGCAACTTTTAAGAAAAAACGGGGCTTTTCTAGTTAGATACGAAATGGACATGTTAGCATTTTATGGATGCACTCAAGGATGCAATTCCGATGAGGTGGAAGAGTTGACCAGAATGAGGTTTGACCTTCTTTCTTTCGTAGGCACCATTTGTTACACATGACAAGACTTAATAACAAGTTCTTCCTTTCAATAAAAGTAGTAGGGCTAATAATATTTCTTTAGCTTAATGCTATGCAAAAGACATGAATACCCTCCTTGTCCTCATTATTAATTATTTTTGGCAGATATGCATACCCATGGTGGAAAGAAAAGATTATTAACTCTGACTTGAAAAGAAAAGATGGGTTATGCCCTTTGACTCCTGAGGAGACACTAAGGGCACTTGACATTGCTAGTGACATTCAGATTTATGTGGCGGCTGGTGAAATATATGGTGGTCAAAGGAGAATGGCCAGCCTTGCAGCCGCTTTTCCAAAGCTGGTTAGTTAAAAATCGAAAATGGTAAAATTAGTTAATCAAATTACGTGATTATTTGGTAAAAAGTAAATCAAAAAGCGTTTAATGAATAAAGAACGACCGAATGAAGAAAAAGTCAGGAAATATAGGCGGCTTTCTTCTTCATTAAGTCCTTACTTTTTACAAATTTACCCATGTTTTCTCAACAGGTTAGAAAAGAGACCTTATTAGGAGCAGATGACCTACAATTTTTCCACAACCATTCGTCACAAATGGCAGCATTGGACTATCTTGTATTATTAGAAAGTGACATTTTTATCCCTACTTATGATGGGAACATGGCCAAAGTTGTAGAAGGCCATCGCAGGTACCCTTTTCACCATTCTTTCTTCATTCTTTTTTACAATAAAATAAAGAAAGCTTGAATCTTTTTTCAGACAGATCCTTAAAGAAAGTTTCAATCTTTCTTACAATAACGATTCAAACAGACCCATAAAGAAAGCTTAAATCTTTCTTCAACCTTTCTTACAATAACTATTCAAGCAGACCCATAAAGAAAGCTTCAATCTTTCTTAAATAACGATTGAAACAAACCAATAAAGAATATGCTTGAATCTTTTTTCAGATACTTGGGTTTCAAGAAGACGATATTATTGGATAGAAAGCTTCTGGTTGAATTGATAGACAGATACACCAGTGGTTTGTTGAGCTGGGAGGAATTCTCAAATGCTGTGAAGGATGCACACATGGGGAGCCCTAAAAAAAGGAAAAATTGTTCCCGAAAGGCCAAAAGAAGAAGACTACTTTTATGCAAATCCAGAAGAGTGCTTGCAGCCATTAGGAGACATAGACCCTGTGACTCTGAGCATCCTAAGATGAGTAGGCTCTTGTGGAATATTTAGGTCAGTATCTTTATCAGAGGCCTCATCCAGTTGCAAGATTGTGGTTCATTATGGTTCACTGCCTTCGAGCCAGTGGTGCAGGAGGTGGGTCAATCTTGATCGAGGCGGCAGGTGGTGGTGGGTGGTGGACTTCCACGTTGTTGACCATGTTTTCGTAGGGCTGAGATGGCGTTTATTATTAGGAACTCTATTTTTTTTTGGCTTACATATTATTGGTAATAATGCAGATTCATGTATAGGAATTAGTAATTACCCTGGCATTGCAGGGTTGTATCTTGGGCCTTGAAACTACCGATGTACACATTGATATGAAATATAGATTTGTTTTTGCCCGGTAAATGTATCTCATCAGTGAAGACTTAAAAGCACGATGATACAACAGGTGTAATGTAGAGTTAGTTTTTGGGTTATTGGTGAGTGTGTGTTCTTTAGTTGAAACTCAATTGGGAACTTAATGGTTCTAGCCCATCATAGATTTGTTGCAGAATTGTGAGATTTTGAAAATCAAAATGTATTATCGTTTTTTTAATCGAAGTTAACAATAAGGAAATGGAAAATATTTCTAGTGTTATGCATCAGAATGGTTAATACATGGTGTAATAGTAACTTATCTTTACCTTATTATGATACTAGGCGAATTAAAGCACATTGTATAGAAAACTGATTACATAGATAAATATTAGAGTTATATGACATGAAATACGTTAGGGGCATTTGGTTCATAGGAGGTTGTAAGATTTGATAAATATTCAATAAGGGCAACATTAACATATCTTAAAAGGATTAGGTCTAGGTGTAATTTTGGTGTCTACCTTTTTTCTCTGCATTGAAAGTATATCATATTTAGCGAAGAGTTTAGAATTTTTATTTATTTATTTATTTTATTTTTTGCATTGAGAGTAAATTACCTTGAGGTTGAGGTGTAAGTTTGGTGTCCACCTTTCTTCTCTGCATTAGAAGTAAATCATATTTAGT